ACTTTACAACTGTTTAATTCTTTGTGGTTGGGGGAGGTTAGGGTTAAAGAGAAAATTCCCCAAACTATCAGTATCATGTTTATCCTCAACAAATGTATCAACATTGCTCTACATGTCCAACAACAGCACTACATACTTATTAGTTCCCCTGTCCATCAGGCTCATGAACATTCCTGAACCTATCTCCCTGGGAAGTATATAAAAAGCCTGATGCTGCCATTTCAGGTGTGAATAGCTAACCAAATGCAATGACAATAAAGGTTTTCATTTACACCCCTGGGTAGGAAAAGGAAAACATAGGTGAAGTAACTTGTCCAAGGTCACAACATGTTATGATCCCTGCAATGTAACTTTTCAAACAACCTTTGAAAATGCACATTCGCGACTCAAACAAGCTTATTTTCGTGGGAGGGGGGGTTTGCTATTTTAAAGGTACATGTATTTTGGTGCCTGTTTGGTTTTAATAATAGTTGTTTAAATATTCATGAGCAAAACTGTGATGTCATTCCAGGAAGAGAGTCAAACCGTTACTGTTGATTTATGCACAAAACACTGCTAGAGTTTTTAATAATTTGCTATCCTGAGTTCTGTTTCTTTGGTTATTCACTGCTTTGCATTAAAGTACTCAGCAATGTGCAAATAAGTAACCCCTTCTAAAAAAACTTTTCAATGAGCAAAATTTTTGATTCATAATTATAATATAAAAATAATAACACAACAGCTTACACAATGAAGTGTGTCTTCACAGGATGACATCAGGTAATATTGACATGAACCCTTTAATCAGTAGGCAACACATCCCTACATCTTATAGTAAACGGACACAGGCAACTGTCAGTTACTTCTGCAATCCAGTCTACCAAAGAAATCCTTTTAAAACCAATTATTAATCAATTAGAAAGGCTGACTTACTGAAGTGCAGTCTGGCCTGAGTTGTGTTCTCCGGATTAGCTACTGTCTCAATGGCAGTGGCAATTTTCCCCCAGTGCCTCTGACGATCTTCGGGTCTGGTCATTGCATGGATGATCTTGACTGGAGAGAAAAACGCACACCACAAAAAACGTCAAGACCAGAGCTATGCCTTCTGACAGGAAGCAACCCCCCCACCCAGCAGGACAGAGACGGGCTGGCGGGAGGGTGTTCCAGCTGGGCAAGCCGGTGCACGGGCGAAGACCGTACAGTTTGAAGGAAACCTGCTTGGCGCGTCCCGTGCCTGATATGCACAAAACTGTTAGTTAGAGAGGTTTGCGGTAGCACCATGCAAAATTAATCTCTTTTGAGGATGTGTGGTTCTGAAAAGAACGAAGGGTTCAGAACCAAACATCCTCAAAAGAGATACCCTCGCATGGTGCTGTCGCAAACCTTTCCATTAACTTGCCATCTTCACCATGAAAACTTCAAAGCTCATGCACTAAGCTGAGAACGCATGTGCTGTATCCTCACCAGAGGTGTGTCATTCCCTCATATGAACAGGCCATCTCTTTCTTTTACAGGGAGCAGATGATTGCCAACTTGAGCTCCCAAAATGTATCAGAAATGCCTCTTGGTATCTTGACCACAGCAAATTTCCCATCAAGGTTGCGACATGTTGTGCAATTCAATACCAAAGAATATAGGAATGTAAAAATATTTGAATATTCGATCAAAGATCAAGTATTCAAATATTCATTTTTGAAATTAAATATGTGGCAGTAAAATTTACTGAAGCAAATTTTAAAGACAAATATTCAATTCTGAGCCAAAAAAAAAATGCATTCTGAAACCTTAATTCAAAGTGTTACAAAAAATTTAAGGGCAGGTGATCGTGAGGCCCACCAATAAGGCAAAATATTCTTTCTGCTCCCTCTCACCGACCATCCATATTTTCATGGCCTGAGTCAAACGTTAGTATCGGCAACTTCAAAAAGGTTGGCTTCTGTCTTAATAAACCAATTAATTCCTATCATTTTTCACATCAAAAACACTTTCAACATCAACTGCCGTTTAGTACTTGTTTTCCTACCTACAATCGCTTCTTTCAAAAGCTATCTTACCTGGAGATATCATCCAGGAATTTTGAATTTTCAGAAATGTATTGAATATAAATGGTCGAATACTTAAGCCACATATTTGAATACTGAATTATTCAAACTGGCTCATCCCTAAAAGAGCACAGCATGTGCAAGAGTGGACGTATGGTATGCTGTGTGTTTCTTTTACATTTGGATTGCCCTGACATGTGAAGTGATAAAGATTTGGAGCTTGTAAGGAAAACCCACAGTCCCTGGTATTACTGCATTATGGGAAAGTGACAGAATGGAAGTTTCCGGAAGTTTGTGGGCTATCTGACAGTAAAGAGTTATCCTACCTTTATCAGGGGTATATTCTTCAGGGCTGGCAGACATCAGCAAGGATCTCTGCATATTCGACTCTGCCTGTGATGAGAGGGTTGCCTGGGGACCTGGAAAGATACAACATGACCACCAAACAAAATTGGAGCATCTCTGTAACACAGCTGTGACACAGGTGTGCAATCTCCAGCAGGCATCCTCTAGCTACGGCAACCATGCTAGGATCAACACAAGAAAACCTCTGGATGCAATCTACACGTCTGCCACTACTAACTCCTTTTCCAAGGCTTTGTAATCAATGATAAAGCAGTGGGAAGAATTCCTATTGAAAACTCCTCTGGACTAGTCACTCAACCCAGCGCTACTGTCTGTGCCATTTTTATCCATCGTTATAGGCCCGGACTGCCCCTTCTCGTTGAGCATTTCTGCCACCTTATTTGTAGTCCACACAAGAAAAAACATACAAAAACTGGTAGCAAAAAATAAAGCAAAAACGTTATACCCCTCAAACTGAGTTGGTCTTGAAGGCACTCCTTACAGCGGATGGTAAATCAAATCTCATTCTAGTCTATTCTCAAGTGCAATCCTGTGCATAAACGGAAGTCAACGATTGATGTGAGTGCCTTGAGTAAAGGCTAGGACTCAGGGTAATCGTCCCAGCCTGGTCACAAAATGTCTTTGCACTGAGAACTTGTTGTGGCGGCACCTTCTTGCAGACGCAATTTCCAAGTGACTTACCAAACCATTGCCGGTAGATTGCCTCGGCCAGGTTTCCAGTCTCAATGGCTTGGATGTAGATACCCAAGTTGATGCATCGAAGGCCGGCCAACTGTGCCGGTATATTGCTAGGTGTGACCAATGCAAACATGGATTCACGGGGGTTTTGAGAGTAGAGCTTGCCTGACAAGAAAACAAAAGTGGAGAACTCAGGTAAAAAAATTTGGCCTGCTGCCACTAAGGATAAATGTAGCAATGATGATGGTAACAATGTATAATGGTCATTCTTTAAATTTGGGGTCTAACAGTGTGACATTTTTGTGTCCCTGTTACACTTGACCTGTATCATCTGACATGGAAATATCACTAAAATTGATTTCAAACTATTTCTATTTGTTTGGCAGGTACTTTGCATTAATACATCTCTCTTGGAAATAAGAGAATGTGTTCTGAACTTACAAAAAAATCATATGTGACAGGGACTAGAAAAAAAATTGGACCCCTAATTTACAGAATTACTCACAATGCATTTCAGAGTTATTTTCAACATTGATCGGGCCACAAGATCAGCTTTAAAGCAGACACTTGAGACAATCCTTGATTGATATCCATTTAAATTGTAGACAGGCAATTATAGTAAAATACTGTAGCGCCGGCGGGTCCGGCCAGTGGGGGCACCAGCTCGGACGCGCATGGAGTTGGCTGGCTGCCCGCGCTGGTATGCGAACGGCCCACGGTTTTCCCGCCTCGCGCCTGCGCAGTCCCTGCCGAGGAGCGCCATGTTGAGAGCCTGTCGGAAGAACACATTGTGGTGTACGCTACAGCAATAAAACAGAGATTTCGTGACCAGAGCAGCGAGTTTCGGCTGTGTGTGAATCTATACTAGCGTCAAACCCTGATCCGTAGGACACACTACAATACCTTGCCAAGGAACACAAGTGCCATGATCCTAAAAAGAGGAGGTGAATTGTAACAGTGTATTTGTGCAAACTTCGTACACCACAAACAGCCTTGCCCGTGCATGTACATGTAACCTCATGTGCCATTCCTGGTGCACCATCCATACATGTACATGTCGTTCTGGTATGGAGTTCATAACCTTTCTGCATACTGAACTAATGCAAGTGCTTTGACATCAATAATCAACAACCAAACATCAACAATGAGCCAGTTTAACATTTCCAAAAATGAGCAATTTCATTTGGGAACAAAGCAAATATGATATCGAACCAGTCTAAACATACTTGTTACATGTACGGCCACCATGATAGGGCAGACCTCAGGAGCACAAACTGATGTGATCAAATTGTGCGACAATCCACTTTGTTTTACAAATGCCATGCACTCTTGAAATACCAAACTTGACCAATTCCAGGCTCCCACTCACTCTTTATTTGCTGGAAAGCTTTTGGGTTTGTCGAACACTTGGCAAAGAAGGTATCACTGATGACCACAACCAGCCTGGTATGTTCCTCCAGGGATTCTTCATTGAGCCACTTCAAGACGTACTGTGATATGTCTGTACCTATGATTAAAAGAAGAACCATTACTGAGTGCTCCAAGCAGGCAAGGATCGCTCCCCCCAGGATGCAGTACTTACACATGTAACATCTTATGACTGTACTCATAATCTTTGACAACTTGGATCAACCACAACCTCAACAAGACATTTACCAGCATCGATTCCAGTAATTATGAGTACAGTGTGGGCCTGTCATCTGCAACCTAAAATGAGGCCAATAAAGACTCTGTAAATCCATCCTGTCATTTTATTAACGTCTTTACATTTCAACTCCTTTGAATTTTTTGGAAGGGAGCTCACTCCATCATCCAAATCCTCTACTATGCAGGACACTTGCGGCACAATCCTTGCACATGCTACAGGAATGAGTGGCCAAAACATCAAAGGTCTGCAACACAAGATGAAGGGTCGGTGGTTGAAATCTTAACAGCTGGTTACATGTTGTGATGTTGGCCAAGTCACTTTACCCAAACCTTCTTCTCTCCACCCAGGGGTATATACGATACCCGTGAGGGCTGTATACACATTCCCTCCACAGAGCAGAGAGAGTCTTGGGAATGTTTATGGGTTTGGTGGTCAGGGATAATAGAAATAATCAGGTTTTCGAAAAAGTGTGCCTTACATGTACATGTAAAACCATAATTGTTCTTCCTCATTATTAGCAGATCACTAGTGAAAATGTTGAAGTGTTACCGAAGGCAAAGCAACACCAGCATTAAAGGAACACACTTAAAGTCCCACATATTAATAGAGCGGTCAATGGCACAGCCATGATCTGTCATGGGGGAGGGGGGGCTTGGACCGGAACTTTACCCCAACAATCGCTCATGATGCTCTCAAGCTCCCCTCACCTTATTAAACTGGGATACATCAGAGCTTGTAGTTTGAGATGTAATGTATGTGTGCCAGTATAGGGTATCTTCTTTTGTAAGAAAGTAAAAATAAATCTTGGTGGGCAGCAGCCCCCGCCCCCAGTGAGTCACTATCAAGTGGCTGGGTTCTACCTTCCTTGTAGCCCTGTACCCCGGCATGTACTGTGCAAGCTCAACTTTGTGAGCGAAGGAAAAGACGCATTCAGGTTGTTCACCTGCTCTGAATGTGCGCTTGTAGTCGGCCTGTTCACCCAGCTTGAGGCGGGTTTCTAGGGTTTCAGCCAGGGGCCGTATGATGGTGTTGAGATCCTCTCCGGCATGAACGATGACAACTGAATTGGGGAAACGACACAAACAAAAAGTGAACACAGCTTCATGCTGTTTTGGGGGAGGTTGGCTTATACGTTTGAGCTTCATGCGCATGCTTACTGGATAATTAATGCAATGCCACTACAAGTTGCAATCCTTGGTACATGATCATTTTTATCAAACCCATAAAAACCAGTTTAAGAATGTCTAGAAAGACACGAAAGAAAGGTCAGCTACAAGGACTTCATCTCTCCAAACAGCAGAGGACAACGGCAGCATGCAGATGACGACGTGACTGGCCAGAATTATCATACACCATGTACACAATCCACAGGCAACTGCACGTATTGTGTACATGTGCCAAAACTTCTTAGAACGTGTCTAATTCCTGGACGTTACTCTGTAAAACACATGTCATCAGCCCTCAGACAATGGATGAAATGATTATAACCTAGGAGGAGAATCAGTTGGAAATTATAAACCCTCTGTGCCTGATGTGATTAATACAAAATTATCCTGAACTGCCACACAGAATAAGCAATCATTTGGTACATTATAGTCTTCAGCACCAGAACTTCACCTATCACCAATATGTATAACAATTGCATGTAATCTACAATTTTAAACAATCAACCTGAGTATTAATGGCTTTCCTCCAGGACTCCTTTAGAACATTTTGACAGAAATACATGAACAAAGAATGGATTTTTGAAACTTTTAGGCGACAACAGGACATGAGAATTTATGCCAGACACAAAAGGTAATTTAAAAGAGTGCTACGTACAAGTAGACCACTGCACATCAAAATACTGCATTGAAACAACAACAGCTACATCTGTCTTTATATCTGTGGTACATTATTTACACAACCAGGCTGCCAGCATAACGCACCAGTACCACGCCTCGACTTGAAGTCACTTAACTTTATCACTCTCAGGTGCAAAATGTTTAAGGAAAGTCATTGTTCCACAACATGCGAAATGCCTGTCTGTGTCCGTTGCACAAAGCACATACATGTACTACATGCAATGTGAAAAAATTGGAGAGAAAAGACTCACATTCCAAAAATGAGGTATGAGATCACAAAGTGTTCCATACCCAGACATAGCTTGACATCCTGTGCACAAACTGGTCTGAAAAATTTGAAGTGTTTTCTTTGTAAATGTTTCAGTATTTTCACTGCTAAATTTGACTTTTGGTACATTCATGTTATCACTTTCTGAAGGCTAATAAACCATTGCAAGGGAAAATTAGTGATGTCCCTATATGGAACTTTTGCCACTATGAGCAAAATGGGAGGGGGAGATTCCACGCCCTTGAAATTTTCTCCTCTATCATCACAGTGCCAATCTTTCAGCAATGTTACGCCCCAACTGTAACATAAGTCCCAACTATAGTTGGGACAGTCCCAACTGTAGTGCTGCAGTTGGGCTGGCCCAACTATTGTTGACCAATGTCTGTGGAAAATGTCTCAACATTATCCAAGTCAACGTGTCTCACACTTGACACAATTCATATAAAATGTGACACTTCATCTGTTCATCTAGCCCTATGACCAATGACATGACATTTGTAAACAATATGACTTTGGCACATGCTGGGCACATCGTGCACACAGGACCTCTCTGCTGTAGTTGAGCCGGCCCAACTGTAGCGCTTTGGTTGGGACGAGCCCAACTATAGTTGGGACGTAACAGCAACATGGGGATGTCTTCATAGTCATTTTATCCAATTAAGCATCAACAGCTACTGGCCCGAATCCAGCTCTGTCACCACTCTCTCTTCCCTCGCACTGTCACTTGTTGGAATGCCCTCCCCGGAAGCACTTTATCTTCATCATCACATTTAGAGGTGCAGGTGGAACAGCCAACCTATAAACTTCAAGTTCCTTTTTACTTGCATTTAATTGGTATCTTCTTTGGCAATGAACTGCACCTTCACTGTACATGCACATCAAGTTTTTATATCCAGACTTACATGACTTACGGACCTTTTACTTTTGACACCAATTTTGTGAAAGTCGAATTGAACATATAATTTCATTTCACATGTCAAATTGTCATGCATGTCTTTTGTCGTAAATGAAACAGATGATTTTGGTACTTGGATTTCAGAAATGTAACGCACTGATTGTAAAAAAAAGGCTATCTGGAACTTGGAAACAACTACCTTCACGGTTAGACTCAAACATTCCTCCATTATGTCCATCGTCCATGACAATGTTGTTTACTAGTACTACATACAGCACTAGTGACTAGGGCCTACAGGCTTGTGGTCATAAAGAATTCTCAAGACTTACCCTTTTCGACCCTTGGTTGCTCACGATCATCATTTTCAATGCAAGCCATCATGATTATTCCAGTCTTGGCTGAGAAATGACGCAGTTGAAGAAGGACTCCAGTCTGGACTGAAAGATCTCAGCGTCCTACGTCGCTCCACATCCCCATTTCAATGTACAACTACAAACACGTACACCTTGACTTTTTAGCGGAGGTATGATGACGTATCCTGTAAAATAGACTGGTTCCCGGTCCACAGGCTTCGTTGCAGATTTTGTGCCCTTAGACTGGGTTTGTTGGGGAACCCGCGATTTCGACGCTGCAAATCGCAATCGTCATGGAAAGACAATCGCTGTTGAGCGAGGGGAAATCCCCGGCGTTTCTGGAGCTCGAGCGCGCTTGCGCACCAGCGCTGATGACGTGAGTGATCGCCTGGCGTTCGGTGAGGTGCGGTCCTGTTGCATGACGTGCGTGCAGTAGGCCAGCATTTAATCAATCACGGTACAAGTTTTTGTTTTGGGTCCTGCCTATTATGGCCAAACCACTTCCAGGTTTCGTCGACGCACGCCAAGCTGCAGGAGAAGCGAGGCCTGTCTTGGGCTAAAGTAGGCCTACTTTCACAACTGGCGTTTTCCGAAATCTTCTAAAAGTGTCCTGAAATTCTAGAAAAAAATTACAAATTTATCAATGTAAAAACACTTTTTCCTACCTCCGTGGTAGAAATAAGTAAGTGGTAACCAGCAGATGCTTCCTAATTTATTGAAAGAAACATTGTCAATGAATTTAAATTTTCACCAAATGACATGAATTGGAGGACTTTCCTGACCTGAGTGCAGTCGATAAAATTATGAACATGCTTCTGGTTTCAAAACTTGAATTGATCATTGTGATCAGTCGGACACCACTTGTGATGCCTCAGGGGCTACGTCAGTCATCTGTACCGGATGATGCCACATTTGGTTTACGCAAGAGCTTTCCAATGGAGCTCAACTCCGAGTGTGACGTCATTAGTACAGAATCCTGTTGCATTTGCTGCAGTGAGCAGTTTTTTTTTTTGAGAATTTGTGGTTCAAATCTTTTACAACCACAAATGCTCGAACCACGGGCATATAGCTGTTTATTACCCCCAATGAGTCGTGCATGGCCATCTCGAGGTGAATGGAGTGACGTAAATTTATGTCGAAAAATTCCCCGGCCACGGAAATTCGAAAAGCCTGGGGCTTACATCATGACACTACGGAGTACTGGTTAAAGGCGCCTTTCCATGTGCGCGTCAACATTACATTGCACCAAGCGTTGCGTATCCGTCAAAATCGCTTCAGAGCGATTTTGAGGGCTGAACGCAACGCAAACGTGTGTTATGTTATTATGGAGTCGATTTTTGTGTCCGTAAAAGGGAAACGCATGAACGCATCGTATACGCAACTAACCCAAAAATGTACATATGGAAAGGCGCCTTAATGCGTATTTCTAAACATTACTTCATAACGGCCTATTTTTCTCCCGTCTTCAGTTCTGTTGAATTTTGGTGGGTGGGAAGTCTGAAAATACCTCAATATCCTTCTTTATTTTTTTTTCTCAAAACTAAAAAGTGGGCCGATTCAAAACAGCCCTCCCCCGGTCAAAAAGTGGGAGATATAAATGCCCATACCCTAAATTCCTTACGATGCAAAAAATTCCAAGAACGAACAAACATCTCTCGCCCCCCCTCCCCAATTCTTGGGAAGAGAGTTTATGGTAATGTGGAGAAAATAAATGAATCATAACCATTTGTGAATCACTGCATTTCCTATTGAAAGGCATTATTCTTAGCTGATTTTAAGAGACTTATTTTAACGTCGGTTTTATATAGTTTTGCTGGTCTTCCGGTCTGGCCAATTATCATAACATCGTTTTCCCTGCAGTTATAATTCAAGTTTTGTTCAGTAGCTAGGCTTCCGACAATTTGGCTATAAAGTTGCGTGCCTTTTGCTGCTGCGTGTCATCCATTTCCTTTTTATACTTTCGAATTTGTTTGCTGGTCACGAAAGAAAGAAGCACTCATATCCGTTGGACAGTATCGGGCATACTCAGTGCACGTCTTTTGAATAGAGTGAAACCGATCTCGCGGGATTTGCGTGTGAATATAGTGGTACGCACGTATCCGCCTATAACTTCAAACTCCTATAAAACTCAATTCCAAATTGCGATGCTGGCTAAAATGCCAGGCGAAGACTAATTAATGGCCTTATTTACGGTTTTTCCTTTTTTTTCTTTCGAAGTTGTTCTATGAGCTAAAAAATCTTGTTTACTTTGTTTATCCCAACGGTATTAATTTTGATTTAGGCATGTCCATAGTGTGATTTTTTGTGGGGGGGGGTTGGACAAAATGTTAAAGGGGGGTAGTCGTTGTTGTACATTACTTATTGAAATATTTAAGTTAATGATTTCTTGACTTGTCTTTCCCCAATTGAATGATTTCCTGTGTTATACCTCACTGCTTGTTTTTACTTTGTCTTCTTTCCCTATGTGTTTCTGTTCATGCACTTTCCAGGTTAGAAAATTATTTTGTCGTGTACCTAGCCGTCAGCACGCGGTGATTTCGGCCTTCCGGCGAATTTAACCCCCAATTGTTCACCCAACGCTCAAATCCATGCCCAAAGACTGATAAAACATTCCTTTTCTTTGCGAATATAACCAGACTTTAACAGACGTTAGTGAAGCCTTTCACAAATCGATGGATGAGTATTTCATCTAATCGGATGCAGCTTTTTCTTGGCAACTGGAAATAACTTTCAGAGGCGCTGTCGATCGTATGTGTTATCGAATACCGGGAATCATTGGAATGGCCGGCAAAACTTTGTGCGTGTACTTTGTGCAACTCTATGCATGTTTAAAAACACTTTGATGAGATAACCAGAAACTCACGTTTTGTTTACACGCGCGCTTTCGTATGGAAGTGATGTGCGATACGATCCATCGATGCCCCATGCAAACAAAGCGTGACGTTATGATATTTTTGGCCTGTTGGAAATGAGACGGAAATATGATTATGGGGCCATTTTCTGGACTCCAAATGTGATTCATGCGAATGTGACGACATTAATTTTGATTAGTTACATGCACGTAATTATTTGTTGAAGGGATTGGCTCAGATTTTGATGGATTAACCTCATCTGGCCTGAGACTCGCGTCCTATGGGCTCGACTACAATGACCCCGAAAGATGTTTCATTAGGAATAAAGATAAAGATGAAGATCGCAACTGTACGCTTTACAGTGTTTTGATGACCATGTATTTTAGTGGACATTGAGGGCTGCAAACGATCTGAAACGCACCACAATGTGTCTATTTTTACATGAATGCGTTTATGGATCACTCTGGGCGCCAGGTGATACGTTCGCGGCCGTTGATTTTCTGTTTTCTTAAACCGAAAACGGTGCCACCATTTAAACAAATCGTTGTCTTTTTTTCGGCAGGATTTAAATTCTTATCTCCTCAAAACTTTGTTCCAGAAATCAGAATCGTTTCCAAGCCAAGCTCATTTGGGGGTTTTAATGTACGTTTTCTGGACTAATTTGATTCACAAAATCCTTCAGTCTTATTACACGACACTCGCTTCAATTCCTTTATACTTGAAGGCTCCCAAATATCAGCATTCAAAAATGTTGTAAATATCTGTAACTGGCATAATTATTTTGTTTTCTCAAATTCGCCGGAAACCTTAAAAAGATGTTGATAGCCGTTTCGGCAACGGTCATTCGAACTGACGCGTCAAGCGAATACACGCGCCACTATGGTCTCTGCAGGCTATTAATTAAAGAGCGCATTTTCCAAGCCATCTTCAGTAACTTTGGTAACATTGCGTTTAATTTGTGGATTGGCCCGTAACTTACTTGGCCCAGGTTTCTCATGCACAACCATCGCATTCAACTTAGCTTTCTTTCACATAGTGCGCGTTTCGGACGTGTAATATAATATGACTTTAATATAATACACTGCTTTTTTAATGACAGATTGCAAATTACCTTGTTATAGCGAGAAACCTTGCGTTATCAGGAATGAAAACAATAAAAACAAAGGATTCAGGCCTAAAATTCTCCTTTTAAGCAGACTTTTGCATTTCTTATTGTAGCACTTAGTATTCAGCTGTATGTTGGACTTAAAACTTATGAGTCGAAAGACTGGGTATTCAAAAAACGGAAATCGAACAACACCCTTTGGTGTCCAATGATAATGTGCAAGTTGCATTCAATTTAGAACTAATTTAAATTAAACTATTTGTTTGCTGAATTGGCTGGGAAAACCTATCTCAATAACGATACAATATACAGCAACTCATTCACTGAGGAGAGGATTTGATTTCTTTCGGGTGGAGAAAGGGCAAACACATACATGTATTTTCAGTTGGGGCAAAACCAACCACAAGGCTGCCGTCAAAACAGACAGCAGACCTTCGTGTAGCAACAACATTTCGGAGGTCATCGCAGAGAAGTAAAAGAAAGTAAATAATCATTGTGACTTCCTTTCTGAAACTGGAGAAAAAATTAATGCCTGTACATGACCCGCTGACGGTGGACGAGTTGGCATGCAACGAAGAGGACTTTAGCCGTAGTTTCATAGTTTCCAAACTGATGACATCGAACTCCGGCAAACCCGAGCATGACGGTTGTATTTAGTCAACCCGACAAAAGAAAACGATTGTAATGCTTTCCCGAGTGTGGGATTCAACCCAGTCAAGGTCCAGTTGTTCAGAATATTTGCGGTTTTCACGAAGTTCTATAGATCCATCCGTTCGTGTTATTGTCCCGTGAGATGAGAGGAAACACGTTCTCGAACATCAGTCATCAGATACTAAAAACATCCGGCCTCGCCGTGGAGGTGAGGTAATATTTAAAAGTTTTGCTCATGTTTTGGTTTTATAATTCTCCGTTCTGAAGATTTTGGGGCAATTTCGAAAAGAACTGCTGCATGTTAACGAATTTTATGGACAATGTACCACAACAAAATGGGAAAATTAGGTGTTTAATTTATTAACACGTTTGAGCAGTTTTCGGGAAGCCACTTTTGAGATGAAAGCCCTCGATGAATCATTTCCGCTTAAGCCAGGCACCGACCTATCACCCACTAAATCAATTTGGGTCACGTTCGCGTTTCATTCAAACACGAACTGAAATTCTGGTGGCCTGGCCCGGGTTGTTCACCTTTTGCAATGAACAAATGAAGCAAAAGCTTGCCCCAAATCACGAGGTATGGCAACAGCGGTTTAGTAAGGAAAATTCCAGTTGTTACATGTATGTTCACGTGAATTTAAAGAACTCGGTGTACCAGATTTGGGTCAAAGTTAACTCGCAAAGTGAGTAAAGCATTGAGATAGAATGTGTGGTATTTATCTTCTCTAATTTTAAACGAGTGGCCGTCCTCTCAACCACAATTTCAATTGCGCTCGCATGCGCATTACTTCAAAAACCAGTAAACTTGGCCGGCAAAACTAAGCACATTGCTGATTGACACGGACAACTAGTTTGAAATTAAACATCCAATTTATTTCCACAATTATTTCCCAATATATTGATTACAAAATGATATTGCAATAATTGTCATTTTTCCCCTCTGAATATAGAACACTGTGACAATGTATGACCACCCAGACTCTTATTCCCGTGGGGACAGCACACGCCATTTCACCTTTGTGCATTCTGCAGTGGGGACTAAAAAAATTGTGTGAGTGCAGACACAGAGACGTCCCTGCACTTTGATCCCAACTTTCCTAGCAAAAGAAATTGTCCCATTAACGCTGTGGCGACCAACTTACCGCAACAGACAGGTATCCGTTGAGCTCGCACACCAAATGCACAATGTCTTCAGCCTAAAAGAGGCGAGCTTTTTTTGGACCATCTCTCAGCCGGGGGTACCCCCCAAAAATTGGCTGTCCCACCCCGATCCTTATGAATCTTTGCACGCATGCAAAGACATTCGTAACACTGCATATGGTTTATGTTATATCTTGTCATTTGAAATTCACAGGGTCATGCGTGTCAACCTGCGTGCATGGAGCACGTCAAGGGAGAAAGTGTACATTTGTGACTGACTTCGTAACCTATCAGAAACCTATGTTGCAAAAGAGACCGGACCCTTTCCTGACTGCTGAGATCACAAGTATATATTTGGACCCAACCATTAAAATTCTCGGAAAGTACTAAATTTAGAAACTGTGATTTTTAGTACACTTATTTCACCAGAGGTTTTAAAGAACGAGAAGTACACTGGACAGCAAAAGAAACTTGCCACTTCTGTCAAAGGCCACACATAAAAATTCACTCCATAGAAATAAACAATTTTTGTACACAGGTATGCTCCAATACCCCTTACTAATCACATGCCCAAAAGCAAGTGATTATCTTTGTAACAAAGAAGAAATTGACATGCACAGCAACTATGGAGTGAATTTTTATGTGTGGCCTTTGACAGAAGTGGCAAGTTTCTTTTGCTGTCCAGTGTATTTATACCAGGGCATACGATCATCACTGTCAGCAGAAGTCTTGACAGCTGTGACATGTCTTCCAAAAGTGACAATTATCTCTCTACAAATATCTGAGCGTAAAACATGTCATGTCATACATGTACATGGGTCATGCTATAAATTCAGGTTCCAAAAGTGTGACTTTTTTTGTGTCCCTGTTACACCTGACCTGTGCAATTTGACATGGAAATATGTTTGTTTAGCAGGTATTCTTAGAAATTAGAGAATGTGTTCTGAACTTACAAAATCATGTCAGATGTGACAGGGACACGAAAAACATTGGACCCCTAATTTATAGAATGACCAGAATGCAAATGTAACTTGATGGAGGCTTGACAATCACACAACAAGTGTAAGCCAAGCGTTGATAAACAATACAAGCCTTTTCATGCGTAAATAATGTTTTCACAATAGTAATTGGGCTCCTTAATATCACATTCAAGGCATAATTCATTTCAAATGATTTTGGGGTGTAAAATTTTGAGCAACAAAGTACGGAAATGTCAGAGTCGCTCACGGAGCCCGACTGGCTGCCATCTCGTTTGCATGCCAGATTGAGAAAAGGGAAAATTGTGACATCCCTTCAGCGTTTTCCCGCAGGGATATGGATGTAATAATTCTCTCACTTCATACATCACCCACACCTCCTTGAGGTGTCAGGTGACTGTGTCTCACACTGACTAATAGATGCCTTCATTTCTTGTATTATTCACACTCTTCTTGCAGTTTCTTTCTCAAACTATTTCCTGGCCTGCCCGTGATGACTTCCTGTCAGCAGTAGCAGACAAAAGAGGACTACGTGTACAGGTAAGCTCTTCTCCACCTTACTTTTGGTTGTTTCCTGACCCAAGTTACTATCTCCTACAGAGTAAGTGGTGTTCTAGGTGACTTGGAACTGTGATTCAGTGAGTGGCAAGTTTTACCTGCACAGGGCAACAGAAACAACCAAGAGGCAGGATTTTCCGATAGGAGGCTGGGGGAGCACTAGGCTACAGCACATGGATCACCACTAAAGACGTGTTCACCAAGTGAACTTTGGTTTGGAGGAGAGCCCCATTTTGCCTGCAAAGGGGCAAGAAAAACAAGTAGAGGAAGGCAGGATTGCCCAGTGCAATGCTGTGGGAGCACTGGGCTACTGCGCATGGATAACCACTAAAGACATGGTGAGCAGTGCGGTCCAACAAATTTCAACAATTGCTGCATGGGTCTTCAATATGTTGAGGCATGAGAGAGTAGAAACCATTGGCCCAGCTGAGGTTGTAGTGACTGACGAGGTGCTCCCGCTTCTGAGGCTGTACACTGATGTAGTTTGAAGGAATGCACCCAAGAACTCCTGGGCCCGAAGTGGCTCAGGAGTTATCTAGCTGGTGGTTTGCATGACAGGTGTTTCGCCATAGAGTTTCACCTTCTACCACGAGAAAAAGAATTGCTACTAGGTCAGGGAAGACACTTGGTGGCACTGACCGATCGATGGTTCCCTACCATGTGAGATATGCACAATCTGCATACTACAACACAACAGCATCTCCATCAAAAGTCTTTACTGCAGTTGATATCATTGGAAGGCAGAACTTTGGGGAAAGATGTCAATGAAGGTACAAACAAGGGTCAAAGCACACGTTGGGCCAGCGAGGAAGACATCCAAAAAGGTGCTAATGTAACCAGCTGCCTGACAGAAGCTGCATAAGCAATCAGTTGCCAAACAAAGCTGTCAAAGGGTCATCCAAGTCAAAAATAACATCTTGTTCAACCAGATGACAACTGGCCAGGTACAGTCTTCTTCCCCTCCCTGAAACGCCCTAAAAGGATGGAGCAGAAGGTGACCCCAGAAGAGGACAACTCGTGGCAGTACATCTTACAGAGCTGAAAGGATGCCCAACCATTGGGTTGGTGAAGGAAGTCTACGAGCATGTCAAGGGATCCGTTAAGATTCAATGGACAAAGGGTTTATAGAGAGGAGGCTGGTTGTCTTCAGTAGTTGACAGTCAGACGACTTTAACCACTTCGTGCCGGGGCATTTTCAACGTTGATGATGCTGGGCCGGCATGACTATCATTTTTCCGTTTTCAAAAATTCATCATTCCATTTAACGGTCGTTTATA